CCTTTTTCCCAGTTAGAAAGATCCATGTCTCCCCATGGTAAGCAGTCAAAACAATGGGAGTAGTCTCTCAAAAGCTGGAAACAGAGCTATGCTAAGTTTTTGGGACATGAAGAGGGGGCAAACATTAGGGGACCTGGATTAAGTCCTGTGGGTCTCACTGAGCAGATGTAAAGTGATGGCATCTAGTGGGCCTCTAAAAAGTTCAGTTATGACACCAATTCAAGAACACATGGGGGGGAAAAGAAAGCACATGGAGGGAGCCAGACGTGGTGGTGCATGCCTGTAATCCCAGCACTCAGGAGGCTGAGGCAGGAGGATTGTTGAGAGTTCCAGACCATCCTGGGCTACAGAGTGAGCTCAAGGCCAGCCTGAACTGCATAGGGAGGCCCTGTCTCAAAAAGACGTGCACAAAAAAAAAAAAAAAAGGAAAAACCAAACAAAAGTCTTCCCTTTCATGTGAAAAGTTGAATCATCAACATGTACCTATGATAGCCTGGAAAAAGCATTCAGTGTAAACCACTGATGTCCTATTTGCCCAGTAGATTAAATATCTGGTCTTTGACCTCAGGTAACACACTCCCTTGAGCCTTACCATTATAATCTTTAAAATCTTTAAGATAAGGGATGGGTTAGGCTCAGTGATAGAATTTTTGCATAGCATGCAGCTGGGTCTGATGCCAAGCACTACAAAAAAAAAAAAAAAAATCTTTAGAATAACTACTTTATTCAAGATATTTGATGAGGGAGGAAAATTATATTGTTTAGAAAAGTTGTAAACTATAAAACACAATTTGACTTTTTAAAATAAATTTATTTTTGAGACAGGGTCTTGCTGTGTAGTTCATGCTGGCCTTGACTGTGTTCACTACTAGCCCAGCCTGGCCTTGAACTCTCGATCCTCCTGCCTCAGCTTCCCAAGTGCTGGGATTACAGGCATGGACTACCATTCCTGACTCCAAGCACAATGTGAATGTAGAGCAAAATAAGAAAAAAGAATTTTTTAATGTAGAGTAAAAAAAAAAAAAAAAAAAAAAAAA